AGAGCAGCCATTCCCAGGATCATCTGTAGGTGCTCAAAGAGCGTTTTCCACCACCACCACTCACCACCCCCTCGCAGTGACAGCAGAGCATAAAAGAGGTTTCCACTAAATAACTGTACCAGGGAAAGACAGCAGAGACACTGCCAAGCCCAGGAGACCTGAGCAAAAAAAAAAAAAAAAAGGAACAAGATTCACAAGGGGAAAAAAAAACCCCACCAAGATAATGCTTGGGGTAAGTTGCAGGAGCCAAGACCCCACAGGGTCCGGCAGACCCGGGTGAAGGAGGCAGAGGCAGGTCGATCCCCACCCCCACCTCCCTCCTCAGCCACCCCAGATTTCAAAAAAAAAACAAAAAAAAAACCTGTTTGCAAGCAAGAAACACGATTCCAGGCCAGGAGGAAACACGTGAAGACAGTAGGATGGAAAGGTTAGGACCAAGCATAACTTACTTGGGAAGCTGTCTAAGGATAGAAAAAGTGTCTTAAGAGCAGATGGCAAGGCACATTTCCGAAGGAAACAGCTTTTTTTTTTCCCCCCCTTTTCAATTTTGCTTCAGTACTTGAAGGACAGCGTGAGGGACTGCCAGGGCTCTGGGCAGGACATCAGTAAGGTCAGGAATCGGACTAGCTGGAACCGCTGTGGTGCGGGTGAGCCAGAGCAGACCTGCAAAAGCCCCCAGCACTCCAGTCCTGCCCAGTTCCTGGCAAGGGGACCCAGAGCCTCGGCACGTCCCAGTGCTCTCTCAGCCCTGGGCTGTAAAACCCGGGTGTCCTTTGGGCAACCCACCTGCGGGCGCTTCGTGGGGCCCTGCTAACCTCACCCGCAGCCCGGGAGAGCACCGACAGGGACCTGACCCCGATCGTTGGCACCAGCGGGCTGGGTTGCATCCCTACAGCGTGCCTCAGTTTCCCCAGTGGAAAGCAACTCGGGGCAAGCTCTGCAGTGGGGGCCGCTCAGCACGAAGGAGTTTTTTTGGGGGGGACGGCTGCTGAGTGCGAGGAGCCCAGGTGAGGCTCTCTCCATCACTCACCCTCCAACGCAGCCCTTCGCCCTCCCGAAACCACGGCTGGCTCCACAACGGCCCAGCCAGCCTCCAAATACCACCCTGCTCAGGGGGAGCAGAAAGAGGAGGTGGCATTTCCCGGGACACAACACCCCCCCCGGACCCCCCACGCCACGAAGGGCCAGGCCCGGAGCTGCCACCCGTGGGCTGTAGCCCCCCACTCCGGCCAGCGGCTGGGACCGTCCCCGTCCCCCCCATCCCCTCACCATGTCGCGGTTGCGGGAGATCCAGGTGTCGAGCAGCAGCTCCAGCCTCGCCTTGTGAAACTTCTTGGTGGTTTTGACGGCGATGAAAACGTCGCGGGGGGAGATATCCTCGGCCGGCGGTCTCGGGGGGCTCGGCGGAGCGGCGGGCAGCTCCCGCCGGGCTCGGCTCAGCCGCCCGAAGTAATCGGCGAAGCTCCGGAGACCGGCGGGCCCCCCCCCCGCCGCCACCGCCGGGGCTGGGGGGGCCACCGCCACCGCCCCCAGGCTCTGCAGCGCCCGCTGCGCCCCACCGGCCTCCCCCCGGGCCAACCCCGGTCTCCCCGGCGGCTCCACCATGAGCACCAGCAGGCAGGTGAACATGGAGCCCACGAGGGACAGCAGCAGTTTCCTCCCGCAGCTCTTCAGCATCCTCCCGCCGCCGGCCACCCGCGCTCCTCCTTCCTCCTCCTCCTCCTC